CATGCGAGCTTGTGGCGGGTTTCGTGGGCGTCGGTTTTCGTTGGAACTGTCCGGGCTTGGAGGTTGACATTTTCGTCTTCGTCTTCTTCTTCTTTCTCGAAAACAGCGAGTTGTCGAGAGAGGTGATTCATTGCATGTATAGTTGCCTCACGGCATATATCATCACGAAGATAGCCCCGGAAAGGTCACGTCCAGTAGAAGTCAGGTCCCATAGAGGTCAGGAGATGATAGAGGCAACCCCCCCCCCCCCTTCCTGATGATCTATCTCGATACCGCATAATGAAAAGCTATCAAGGGCAGACTTTAGGGGGGGGGGGGGGTAAAGCCGTCGAGTCGAGGATACGTGAAATTTGAAAAGATGAAACATATAAATCTCGTTCCCAAGAATCGATGCCATACCAATGTTACTCGTCATGGTTTGGGTCGCTATATCCAACACTTCATCCATACACAAGAAACCAGATCCGCCAGGAAGAAACACGCATACGTATCCGAGAGCAGGTCATGCATCACAGACTCGATGAGAAGAAGCATAAAGTTCGTTCCTCACGCTTCATTGCGAGGGACGGGCCAACTCTACCAGGGAACACGGGATATTACACAGACGAAAGGCAAAGCTTAGCAACGATGCCGCTCGCTCACAATCACAGCAGCAGATGCAGTATCAGTAGGAGTAGCAGCAGGGGCAGCACGTTACGACAAGTGAATGTTGGCTCGATTTCGAAATTCCGAGTTCCATGGAAAGGCATCGAACTTCTCAAAGCTCTTAGCACGCCATCTCTTCTTTGCGTGTCCGGAATCCGTTCTTGGATTGTAGTTTGTCTGTAGCTGTGGCTTTTGGAGGCAAAGCTACTACTGGATATGGAATTCACCATCTATGCGAACCTCTTCTCGTCTTGTGTCTTCTTTCTGGAACAAGACTCCGACACGATGAGGTTCATGGCCTTCTTTATCTTTAACTCCTATCCTATGAATATTGTGGTTCCTCAGATGGGCCGTGACCAACATTGGAATGCGTGAGTAGATGGTCTACGAAACCCTGTGAGGCAGGGGAGAACGGTAAGGGATATGCCTCGAAGATCGAGTCTCGAAGTTTATCAGAGGCTCTTCATCGGGTATGTAGATAAATCCCACCGGCACTATCTTGACCGAAAGCGCACTAGAGAGAAATCCACCTTCCTCTTTACTCGGCTTCATTCTTATCCATGCTGGGCTGAGACGTGGCAACCGACATCGTCGCCATCTCGTTCACGCTGGCAGAGAGATCAAGTCTGTTCCGCCCAGAGAAGGGTGAACCTAGACCCCATCGCTCGCAGCTCTAGAACCTTTTGTTCGACTGTACTTACTGCGAGTACGACAACGACGGTAGTACGATGGGCTTTCTGGTTCCAGTACCACGGCGCATGTCATTCGCGCGCTGCGTGTCGATGAGGTTATAAACACGCGCAAAAGGAGAGGAGGCGCCGCTGAGAGCGACGTGATCGAAGTCCCTCGTCGAGGTCCGCCTCGTTTGCGCTTGCTTGGTTCATCCGAGACAAACCTCCTCTTCCTCGCCTTCTCTACCTCTCTCTCGCCGATTCAGGCTCGGAGACCGCATTACGGTCCTCTGAGCGAGAGCGCGCCCCACGTAGGACTATGAACTACAAAGGTTCCAAGAGAGAAAATTGGCGAAAAGGAAAGAAAGGGCGCAAAGAAGCCATCCTGGCTTGCAAAAGGCGGTCGATAGTCGAAAGAGCTCTAGACCACGTTGTGGTGTCATTGGATCAGACCTACCTGCTCAGCTTATTCGTGTTTTCTAATGTTCCCAAACATCTCGATTTGATTGTCGAGGCTCAATGGGAGGTGAACTAGCCAAGTCGCTTAGACGGGCTTGAAAAAAAGTTTCCTCTTTACAAAAGAACGTGGGGAAAACAACGTCGTATAAACAAACGAACCCTGTGCGACTCCAGAAAGACCAACCCAACCCATTATTGAAGTCTTGGGGGCTCCATTCAGAAATGGCACCCGGAATTACCTCCCGCCTCTCACCAAGAGTATGGGACGCGCGGGTTGCACGTCTGGAAGTTTGTCTTGGTGATCGGACCACATGTTGTGCAGGGTCGACTGACAAAGGAACCAATGTGGAAATTTCCAAAAGTTCGTGTGCCCTTTTGTCTGAAACCCCTCGAGTTCAAAACCTCGTCGCCAAGGCCCTGGGAAGCGCTGACTGTAGGCCGTTGGTATGCGAATTTCGTCTCCACAATCGTCGTACAGAGCTGAGAGAAAGTCTGCTTTTCGCGAGAATGATGTACGTAATAATGTCCTTACTCCAGAGTTCCAAGAGCTGCCAACCAAGCAAGGCCAGCAGCATGCGTGAGCGACAAGTCGGAGGCTGCCAACCACGCACGCACTCTCATAATGTGCGGATCTCGTGTGTATTTCTATTCTGTCCATCAAGGTACGGCAGCAACTACGATTACTGTATTTAGAGTGGTGTACGGAGGCTTGCAGCTCAAAGTCTTGGCTTGCGGGCTTGGCCGGCCAACTGGGGTAAAGGCTGGGGATTTTTGTGATCTCCCCCTCGCAACCCAGAACGTCAGTAAGACTACGAAGTACTCCGTAGGTGACTGACTGGTAGCGATTTGCTGTAGCAGTGGTCAGGTTCGCCGACTTGATGAAGGAATAAAGCCCACTTGGACAAACGGTGCTGCTTTCCCAGCCGGTAAGGTTGTCCACGCTGATGCTCATCTTCCTGTTGGTCTTTTGCCGGCGAGCTCGGCTCGGATGTTGCGAGCCCTGCGGTCGCAGATGTCTTTGCTCTTGCACCCACCGTTCTTTTTTACCCCCTCCCTGTTTGCTTGCGACCTTCTCGATTGAGATGGCGGTCACGTCAACTTTGTGTGGTTGGTCGGTACCTGGACCTCGATTAGAAATGGTCCAGGAGATGCCGTCTTAGCCGTCAACCCCCCAGCTTCCTCGGGCGTCGAGAATCTAAAGAGGGGAAATCTTGCCGTTGGGTTGTATTATTCTCCGGCGCGCGTGTTCTAGGTCGCAGAGCGGCATGCTGTCATCACTACTTTCAAAGTAGTGCTTTGTACGTCTCCATGCGGACAATGCTTCCATCCTTGTAGTGGTAGCATGCGGAACCCAAAGTATGAGTGGGCTGGGAATCCGTGAGCAGGTGGCCAGACTTCGCGCTTGTTCTTGCGAGGGGTTACAGCAGTCCGTTAGCCAGCATGCAAACAGTTTTGCTGACCGATGATCACAGAGCCAGGATGAAGATGTTCAAGTGGCAGATAGGGAACTGCCGGCGATAATCAAAGATCAGCACTTCGGAGAGCGGTTAGCCAGTGGAGATTATTTGGAGATTTCCGTCGTCGATTCTTGTTTAGGAAAGAATACGTCTTTCGAGTTTGCATTTCGTTGGTGTTGGTGACCGGCGAGTTGTTTCTAGAATATTGCCTGTTCCGAGGTAGAGCGGCATGGGCAAACTTGCGTTAGAATCAACGTCCTGTCTCCTCAATGACAACGAAACAATTGCTTCACGTTGACAAACGAAGCCGGCCTAGCAAAACAGGGCAGGGCGAGCATTCAGCGGCAGCCAGCTGGAAGACGGGGCGTGAGCTGTGGTGCGGGAATGGCGTCCACTCAAGCTTTCCAAGAAAATTCCAAGAGATTGGGCGAAGCCGCTAGAAGCAGAAACGGGCGGCCGGGTTCGGGGGGCGTGTGTTGCGTGGTGGTATTGGCCTGGCCTGCAACAGACTAATACCTCCATACCAGTCCGCCATCAGTGATACGTGACATTTGCTTGACAGGCCCTAAAAGCACCATGTTCATCTGTGGGAAAAAAATCGAACGCTGGTATAGAAGGAGGGCGCGACGTTCGAGTCGCGACTGGCGCCCCCATAGTCAAAACCTGACTTCGTGGCGTGCCGGGGGGGATCCGAAGGGCGTTTTCTGGGGAACGGGGGGATCTGGAGGGGGTCCCTATCCCAGCAGGCATGGCGTGATGGATGGGGTAGGTATTAAACTGCCACTGTCAACGGCTGGCTCAACGATTGTGCTGATGGGCCGGATGTCGCGGAGAGTGCTCCGTTCTGTAATTTGTGGTGAGGCAGAGCGTACGTATTGCGCATGATAATCGCAATATGAGAAACGGCGCCATTGGGGCACCAGGGCCGAAGCGAAAACTCTGCTCCAAAAGGCAGCAGCACAGTATACGAGGCGCGTCTGCAAAAGTTCGATTTGTTCTACCCAAACTTGCACGGCTGATGCTTGGCTTGAGAAAGTACTGTAGGCTGGCAGGTGGCTGACCAACGACAGGCGATAAACCGGGGGATGTGTTCGAGTTAGTGTTAGCAAAAGGGAACGGCTGAGTGGGATCCGCTCGCAAAAGATCCTTTGGACTTTTGCCAATAATTGGCGTCCATCCAAACGGACACTCCGCCCTGCGCACTCGTGGACTGCAGTAGGACAAGCGCTCAAGCGAGGAGAGGCGAGTGTGTGCGCGAGGGTGGCAGGTGGTTCGGGCCAGCCGCCGCTCTTGGCATTTGCCGTTCCTCGTTTCGTTTATGCACCACTCTTCCTGTCGAAGCCCAGGCCAGCAAACAGCACTGGTGTGTCCCGCCGCCGTCGATGTTTCGGGTGGGCATACGCGGGTATAGTGGGCGGTAAGGTACAGTCACTTTGTTGTAGGTTCAAGGACACGCCAGTGGCTGCCTCCGGTTCAGCGGACGATGTTCAAGCTGCGGACACAGACAACCGTCTCTCGGCCGATTCGAGAGTCCAAGCCACTTGAGGACGGGATCGCCATGTGCATCGAGCTTGGCCGCGCTCCCGTTCTGATGCTAGGCGGTGCTAACCCTCCATTGACGTCCATTAATAATGACTTGCAGTGCAGAGCCAAGGATTCCCGAGCCAGCAAAAACGGTGACGGCGTCGTCGGCGGCGGAAAGAGAGGTATAATTGATGGAAGGGGAGGCCATGACATTGACAGGCAATTCGAACGTTAGGGGGATAGCATGGCGACATGGATTATGCAGAAATGCTTGATTGTGCAGCCGGAGGGCAAAGAGAACGGTAGAGAGACTGGGGGATGGTCAGTAGACGACGAGGGTAGACTCGGGCACCATGGCGGATATCTGACCTGTTTCGTCCTGGTGTTGGCCTTTGGTGTTGGCCTGGGTCTCGAGACAAAAAGTGTGTGTGGGTGGGCGGTGTTGGGGACAAAGTATCGGTGCTTGTACTGTGTGTGTTCGTGTGGTATGGCATGTTTTAGCATTGGCATGTCGACGGCCATGCCCGTTCATCCCATTGTTTGTATCCCCGTACGAGGCATCCTATTGACCTCTTTAGTAATTGTTCAGACGATTCTTTTGGGAAGTACGCAAAGTCTCAGCGTCTTACCAAGTTCTGTTCAATTGTGCGAAGTGCGGTTTTCGACCTGAATACAGATACGGAGTACGGAGTACTGTAAGTGTACTGTGTAACGTTTTGAAATCTGGCACCCACGTCGTCGATCCACTTGACATTTACCTTAGAATTTACCTTAAACCAAGGTGGACTCGGTTTACGAAGCTCCAGAGTCCAGAGTCGAGTGCTCCACAAGCCGTCAGCAAGTGGCAGTTGCCGACCAAGATCCGTCTGTGTCTATATCCGAGGAATCCCAGTTATCGAATGACGCGGACATTGTATGCAAAGGGCCTCCCTAGAGAGCCTACCTTCCTGTGTTGGAAGGCTAGAGAGACGTTGTTGCCGGAGTTGAAGCCGAGTTGCGACGCCTGACCTGGCCTTTACCTTGATGAGCGCAGGTGCAATATGACGGATGCTACCTGCCTGCTCCATGGTAGAGAGAGTTAAGCTTCCTAGAAAGAAGGAATAAGTCTCGCTGTTAGTGTTAGCCTGCTAGTGTAAGGTAAGGTAAGGTCGGGTCGCGCCCGACTCAAGCGGTGGGAACTTGAGGAGTTTGGGAGTTGACGGGAGACTTCTGACCGAGAATGGAAGCAGGTACGGAGGGAGGGTCCACGCCGGGCTAGGGCCCCCGCCTTTCTGTGCCGTAATGCCGTAACTGGTGCCATTGGAAAAGGCATCCATTCAGCTGACCTTCCGTCGTGGCTTCTATTTGGTACGAATACTTTGCCGGCAACTCGTCCAAGGGTGAAACGGAGGATGGGATTCGCCAGGTAAGGTAGGCACCTGCCTTACGCTCAAACTTTTGCAGACCTTCCTTCATATGGAGCAAGGTACCTCGCTACTTTGCTAAGGCTCAAGCGGGCAGGTTGATATTCGGTAGAATTCAAGCATTTTGCACCCGGGCCTTCTCACGCTGCAACTCTCTCTCCCGTCTTTCCATGGTAAGGTACTTTCATTAGTACGGTAAAGTGCATTGGTACCTTGGGTCACCAACTTCCTTCCCGTCTGGTCCTTGTTTGCCTGCCCGGCATCAATCTACAGCGTTGGAGACGAGGCGCCATTCCTTGCATCAGATAGATACATTACGTTTGGAGCTTTGCGTCTTCACCGACCACCTGTTCTTTTCTCTTGCCTTACTTTCCTTCTCTCTTCTGTTTTGCTCTTGTTTCTCGTCCGCGCAGACACTGTTAGACTCGGACAGTACTATGAACGCCGGTTATGCTCTGGCGGCCAATCTCCAAGGTTGCAATGCAAATGACAATGCCAGAGGACGTTGACCTACGAGAGACCCAGCCTCTGTCCCTCTCGTCTCCAAATACAAAGATACCCTGCCGTGCTGCTGGGTCTAGGCACAACGGGAGGTAGCATTGCCATTATACCGTCCACCAAAAGGTCAAAAGATGAAAAAGCTGGGTGGTCTACTAGCAGTCTAGCACAGGTCAAGGGGAAAAAAAGTACCTCGAGTCCGCGCCACCCCGGTCGCCGCATGTCTTTCACCTCCCCAAACGGGTTAGACCTGTCTACAAAAGGCCTCGGTCCACTCGGCGCTGTTCTTGCTTCCACAATCCACCACTCTGACCACCTCAGGACGGGGACCACCACGCATTTGCACCAAAGGGCCCTTTTCTATTTTTCCTTCACTGCCCCTACCACAGTGCTCCCTAAGGTACTTACTTTGGTTAGGTCGCGGCTTGCCAAACGGATGAACCGCTGGCCACTCACCACTCAGGTTTCAGGAATTACTCGTGGGTGTTCGTCTTGACGATCATCGGCACCGAACTCGCCTTAATTCTTACTCGACCCTGCCTGCCTGCCATTTGCTTCAAGGCCGGTTCCTTGTCCCTATTCTGGACTCACGACCACCCTGCCGCTTTCATCCCCCCCCCGTTCATCTGCCCCTGCTCTGCCGACCTGAACCTCTCAAGCCGACGGCCTGCGTTTCCGTTTGCTAGCCGCCGCTGCTGCTTGCTGCTTGTGCTGCTCACCCTCTGTCTGAATGGAACACCACACTTTACAACTGTACGGTAGAAGCGCCAAACTGCAAATCATCATTCCAAGCAATCCGACAAAGAGTCTGCCCATTTGCCAACTCGCGCCGAAGTACATATCAAGGGTACGCGTACCAAGTACGGATATCGCTGCAGCATTGCATTGAGTCCTGGTACTGGATACGTACCTTCGGATCATTAATTGAATCGCACCTTGGCTGATCGATACACTACGTCCACGCCTACCGCCCGGCCAGAATCCGAGCCTCCATCTCTCCTCTTTACTCTCCAATTCTCCATTATCGAATCACCCAATACCTGCAAAAATCCCGACAGGGACCGATTGTAGCGCGCACTTGGTTCGACCTTTTGAAGTTCGAAAATAAAGCGGGAAAAAGACACACCCGTTCTACTCGTACCCTTTGCAACCTCAACTTCACCTCTACCAACGGTGAACCCCGTGCATAAGCCGTACCCCGTTGAACTTCTCTCAACCTTGCTTGGGGTCCTGTTCAACTTCCGCTCGACACACGCCTCCACACCCATCAACCAGGTCTCATCCGTCCATCCATCCTTCTCTGATCATCACAAGTCGCGCGGTGGTCCACCCAGGAACACACCAATTACCGTACATGGTCTTCACTCGCCTTTGGTTTCTGTTACCCTATTCTTTCGCCATATCACGCCGTCCTTGTCAGCTACGCAACCACGTTCCCACCCGCCGCTCTTCAACGAGCCCTGTCCTGGCCTGACCCGACGTCCGATGCGCATGAGATCCGCCCCCAGAGCCAAGTCCCCCTTGCGGCCCTGGTCCTTCAACACAGACGAACTGCCCTTGCTGCGCGGTCCCGGACATCGTCTCCAACCTCTCGCGCTTCTTCTTCGGCCCTGCACGGGAATCGGTTCCCTCATATCCGGCTTGTACTGCTTTCATCATCGGGCTTCCTATTCAGTCCAACCTTGTTAAGCGGCTCTTCTTTGCGCTGGCACCACCCGATGACTCGACGCCTCCCGTTTCGCTTCACTCCTCCCGCCAGCCCGTTGCAACCTTGACCTTCCATCCCATCTCGTCTGCTTCCTCCACAACCACCACTCCTCCGCCTCCCATCTGTGCTTCCTGTGCTTGCTTGCTTGCTCGCCGTGCTTGTCTCGAACCGCACCTCGCTCGCTCCAGGAACCGGATTCTATTCCTACGCCCGGTCATTGGAACCAGGCCTACTACTTGGACCCGTCGCTCCATTGCCACCGCTTTCTCGCTTCTCGGCACATCACTCCATCCTTCATCCACCTTCTCACCACGACACCTACACATCCACACCACCGAGGTCTCCAGTCCTTTCTCCATACCTACGCATTCGTACCTGACTGGACCTAATCCACTCCCCGATCTCATCTCATCTACCGGTCTCGTCCCAGGACCCCTTTGCATTTGTTTTACGTTACTCTGCCCCGTGCGGCCCTAAGAAAGAGCCGCCGACAAAAGGCCCTCACCATGAAGTTTTGCGGGTCAGCATAACCCCCGGGCCAAGCACATCTCGTGAATCCCTCGTTCCAGGGAATCCGTCCGAGACAGACGCACGGGAACGGGCCTCTGCCTCCGCTGCCACCCGCCGCATGGTGGTCCTGGCCTGACACGACTCGTCTGTTGCCGGCTCACTCGTCTCCTGTCATATAAAACCTCATCTGCCCCATGGATCCCCGCAGCGAGGACGGCGGAAATGGACCATCTAATACCGCAGCGCAGCCGCCGCCTCTCCGGCGGCGACTATCGATGGAGGAGGACTATTTCTACCAGGAAGTCATGACTTCCCCTTTCCGACGACCATCACAGCCGCCACCATATGAGCGGGATGCTAGACCAAGACGGCCGGTGGCACCCAGGGTCAACTCCCAACATGGAGTCGGGGAGGATTTGCCAGGCTATTCGTGCGACATCGAGTTGGAGGGCGTATGGGTGAAGAAGATGGAAATTGAAAACACAACCAAACGGGCAGAGGACAGAAATTGGCACACCACTATCGTACAACTACGAGGCACTGCATTGAATTTCTACAACGTGAAGAAGGATTGGGGATGGGGCAGGACGAGAGACGGACCGACCATCTCGCCCGACAATCCGCCATGGGTGCGAAAGGCATCTCTCGACAGAGCGTACAGTCTTCAGCACGCCGATATTGGTATTGCTGCCGATTACAAGAAGTAGGTTGCCTCGATTCTCAGCCTCATTCCATGCCAAGACCTGCCAAGAGACTGACTCCCACCTAGGAGGCGATATGTCATTCGTGTCAGGGCCGAGGAGGATCAGTTTCTCCTATCCTGTATAGAATTAAGCACGATGGTCAGGTGGTTGGAGGCTCTCTTCGCCGCCATCGATGTTGCCGCTCCCATCGACGATCGTGACTATCCCCGCGACCAAAGCATCCCCCGCATTCAACGCATCCGCTGGTTCCGTGGCCAGACACCAGCACCGACGAACAACTACCCCGTACCGACGCCAAGACCACTGAGTCCTGAACTCCGCCGTGTGGCTTCTGCCGAGGCACCCGATCCCTTCCCAGCATCTTCGACCATAGAGGGTCTCGTTCACCAGGCCGTCGTCAACGAGCGCGGCGAGACCAACGTACTAGACAGCGAGTCTATCTACGGCCCCGGACCTGGGAGGAACGAGCTGATCAGCAGCCGCTTGTCGACAACATCGTATCCCAACGAGGCCATCGATCCAGACACTGGAAAATGGGCACCCGAGCATCAATGGAGTGCGGCCCACGATCTGCTTTATGCCAAGCTTTGCTACTCTGTTCTCCTGTTCAAGAGCCCCCGAAAGTCAAACTACATCATCAGCAAGGGAAAACGATGGTTCGTGGATTGGGCAACAGGTCGCATGGTGCGCGTACTGCCGCCAGCCTACGGCGAGATTGATTTCTTCGGCCCTTGGCAAGTCATCCACACGGAAAACAGAAGGATTTAAGATGGATCGTTGTTTCTCCCTCACTTCTATTGCACATATACATACCCCGTGCCCTCGTCAATGACGAGGGCCTTTCTTT